CACCTCGGCTACGTCTAGACTGCAAGCCTCTTTCGAAAGAGGCTTTTTCGAAAGATACTTTCAAAAAAGCCTCTTTCGAAAAAGAGCATCTAGACTGCAAGCAGTTCTTTCGAAAAAGCAAGCCACTTTTTCGAAAGAAAGCACCCAGGCAGTCTGGATGCTCTCTTTCGAAAAAGCCCTGTTTGCATTCAAGAACGCCTTTTTCCGAAAGGGCACTTTCGAAAAAAGGCGTTCTTCCTCGTGAAATGAGGTTTTCCGCCGTCGAAAGAAAAGCCGCGTTCTTTTGATTTAATTTCGAAAGAACGCGGCTGCAGTCTAGACGCAGGAGAAGTTTTTTCGAAAAAAGGCTACTTTTTTTCGAAAAAACCCTTGAGTCTGGACACAGCCCTCTGGGGATGGAGACTCCACTACTTCCCTAGGTAACCCATTCCAGTGCTTCACCACTCTCCTAGTGAAATAGTTTTTCCTAATATCCAGCCTGGACCTCTCCCACCACAACTTGAGACCATTGTTCCTTGTTTTGCCATCCATCACTACTGTGAACAGCCTTTCTCCAGCCTCTTTGGAACCTCCCCTCAGGAAGTTGAAGGCTGCTATCAAATCCCGCCTCACTCTTCACTTCTGCAGACTAAACAGACCCAACTCCCTCAGCCTCTCCTTATAAGTCATATGCTCCAGCCCCCTAATCATTTTGGTTGCCCTCCGCTGGACCCTCTCCAATGCATGCACATCCTTTTTGTAGTGTTAATACTGCCAAATTGTTCTAGTTCAAAAATCAGAAAAATATCAAAACATTTTGCTTAAATATAAACTCTTTTGAAAATATTCAGTTCAAAAACATTTTAGTTTCAAAATTTCCTGCGATGGTACATAAGAATCAGAATCAGATAAAAAATATTTTTTTGGATCTAAAACAAAAATGTTTTTGGCTTTGTACTTCACCAAATTTTCATTCTGAAGTTCACCCAAAAGAGTTTTTTTCATTTTTATTTTTTGGAATTGCTAGCAAACTGACAAGTCCACTATTCACCCAGCTTGAATTCAGAGACTTCCTCCACCTCTTCTGTACACCTGTGCAGAGAAAAACTACAATCCAGCACCATCCAGCAGTATGACATGCCAAAGAAGATAAAACACGAACATGGCCCTAACCCATTCCATACTAATGGACCACTGTGGTTCTCATATGTTGCACCCTTTTAAAGTATTTAACCAAGTAGTTGACTCCCCAAATACAAATATGTAAAAGTATTTAAAATAGGATAGCTTGGTAAGCTGATCTTAATCAGAAAGGTTATTTATTGCATACCCCAAGAATCAAAATACAAAATATAAAATAGTGACTTTTTAGTTAATGGACTATTACACCATTTAATGTATGTAAATCAGGTTGAGAATCTGTTGCACACTTTTGCACCTGTGCCAATAACAGGAAAAACTGTTTATCCCAGAATTATTAGACTAATGATTTTTATTATAAAACAATCTAACTTTAATAGCATGTGTTAACTGATTTTAAAAGCAATGCACCAGCTGGCATTGGGCCATTGCAGCATAACTGTATGTTACTGTTGGCATGCCTACACTAGGAAATTATTTCAAAATAACTCCCAAAATAACTATTTCAAAATAGCATATTCACACCACAGGGAAGCCTTGAAATTAGTCTGAGGTATGCTCTCTTAATGTGCATGTGCTACCTTGACTTAGATTCCCCAGAAGCATGGGGCAGTAATTATTTTGAATGACTCTGAGGAGTAGTAATTTCAAAATAGCAGCAGTAGAGTGTCCATACTACCGCTATTCCAAAATAACTATTTCAAAATTAATGTTATTCCTCGTGGAAAGCAGGAGTTATTATTTCGAAATAACCAGCCTATGTCATGTTGAAATAATGGGCTTGATAGTGTGGATGCTCTGCTTGTTATTTCAAAATAAGAAAATAAACCATTGCTATGAGACATACATCAATTCAGAAGCAGATTTAGGACTTTAACACAGTCAATAGAGTTTGGTATTGGTAATGTTAACACGTTCAACCTTTATGTAAGCCCGACTTTAACACAGTCAATAGAGTTTGGTATTGGTGATGTTAACACGTTCAACCTTTATGTAACATCTCTAGAGCATGCACTAACCATGAAGCTTGCAGACACAGGCTTAGGCAGGAGCGGCTTGAGGCTATTGTAAAATAGATTCCGTGGTCTGGCCAACCTGAGCTATGAATGGATAAAGGCTACACGCGGCACGGAGTCCGCACTAGCGGACATTTAAAAATGGCGGCACCCGGCTTTATGCAAATGAAGCCCGGGAAATTCAAATCCCGGGCTTCATTTGCAACTCAGGTTGCCTACATTACCACCCTAGTTCGAACTAGGGTGGTAGCGTAGACATACCCAGAAAGACTATGGCAGCTGTGCAGTCACACTGGAGCCAGCAGGGGCTCTATGTGAGTGCAACCATCAGTTGCAAGAGCAGATCCTCACTGAGATCCTCTATTGCTTTGTCTGTATGTCAGAGGCCTGCCATATAATAGATGTTAGGAACATTGATGAATGTTCTCCACATAAGGAGTCTAATTTTTGGTGTTTATAACATTGTTCTCTTGGTGTTATCAGATTATCCAAAGAGCAGTAATTGAAGTGGATGAGAAAGGAACTGAAGCAGCAAGTGTTAGTGGGTCAGAAATTATTGCATACTCAATGCCTCCTACTGTTAAAGTCAACCGACCTTTCCTCTTTATAATTTATGAAGAAACTTTCAAAACATTACTGTTCATGGGCAGAGTGGTTAATCCTACAGAAATGTGAATGAAGACAATAGTTTTTTGTCTATATCCAATATATTCCAGGTTTTATTTTTATTTTCTTGAAACTATTAAACTGCATTAGTTAAAGCTGAAAACTAGTTAGATACAAAAACAGATTAATTTCATTTCTCAAATCAGCAGCATGTCCTACTAAATTATTTTGTTAAATCAACAAGATTATCTAGTTGAGGCAATAATTGTGACAAAACAGAGATTTGTTCAAAAACTGCATATTATTTTATATATTTCCTAAACTACTCCTTCCAACAGCCATCTAACAGTAAGATTTGGATTACTAGCTATATACTTTAAGAATCAATTAAAGTATTTTAGTCTGTGAGCTACATTAGATATTTCTGTATATGTGCAAATCCAATAAAATGTTTGAGCTAAAATATGCTAGTTTCTGTTTTATTCTGTGTTTAATCCCCCATTGTAAAGCAGATCCACCATTTTGCACATTTCATTCACAGAAAATATGGTTTCTTATATAAAAATCATCCAAGTGTAAACACAAAATTTAAAGTATATTTTAAAAATGTTGACAGTATTTACTTATGGTCCAGCAGGCTATATAATCAGCTCCAAAAGAACATCTTATATAGCTATAGTTATTAAAGATCACAAAAAGCATGAACATGAAAGTCCCAAATTCAACATTTTAATGATAGAATTCAGATATATTTTATTTAGAGATAAGCCTGAACCAAAATCTGGGATCCAAACATCCCAAAACATTTGGAAAGTTCACATCCAAGCACTGCAGCTTGGCCTACATTCTTACAATATTCTGTATTGCAATCAGAAGAATTAAGAACCTGCTCCCACTAACATCAGAGGAAATTTTGCCATTTACTTCACTATGAGCAGGGCCAAGTTTTAAGCATGGGTCTATAGGCTCTGTTCTTGAGAATTTTATTTACTTCTTATTATGGAGTCATAGCAAGCCTGTAAGATCATATCAGGGTTTTTAGTTCAGTGAATATATACATCTTATTTTCTCAGGGCACACATTTGCAATGTAATAAAAGCACATTTATATGGACTTTTTATAAACAATAAAATATTTCCAAAAGATAATAATAATAATTAATAATAGCTGGGTTTTATAAACAATAAAATATTTCCAAAAGATAACATTAATAATAGCTGGAAAAGTAGACTTTTTCAGTTCTATTTTGTATCACCAAAACTGTGTCCCTGCTGAAGTACATTGCCATATTGTATTACCTAGATACCATGGTAATGTGAACATTAAAAATGTATTGATTTGAAAGTTTCCTACATACCTAAACAAATATTGCTGCCTTTCAGTAAGAGACAGAAAACTTCAGTAAAGGGGAAAAAAACTCCATTCACAGACTAGAGTCACTGAAATAGTGAACAGAAAAACCATTTAAAAATGTGTATTTCTGATGGCTAAATGCAAAACAAGAGCATAGTGATTTCAATGGAGAAGAAGAAAGAACACAGTATCTTCATCTTAATGATATAATTACACTCTGTGTGTGTTGAGCCACTTGTGGCTCTTTGGATTGATTCATATAGATTTCATGAAGTAAACAGACTCAACTGGAACTCTTTTTCATATAGACTTCTGGAGAGCTGTCCAAAGTGCAACTGAGGTGTTTCCAAGATTACTCAGATATTATGATGATAGGAGACATAAAAATACCTACACAGATGTAGACAGACAGATTCATCCACAGACAGGTTGATCCACAAGGCCAGGAAGAAGGGAAGATGAAGGGGACAGACTGAAAAGGAAAACGCTATGGCTGTGTCTAGACTACATCCCCCTTTCGATAGATGGATGTAAATTAGACACTTAGAAATTACAAATGAAGTGAGGATTTAAATATCCCGGGATTCTTTTTCATAATCATGTCATGGCACTCTTCCGAAAAAGCACCATTTCGAAAGTAAAACCACGGTCTAGACATGGTTCTTTCGAAAATGGCAGGCTTTTTCGAAAGATCCTGTAATCCTCAAAAAACGAGGTTTATAGGCTCTTTCAAAAAAGCCTGCCATTTTTGAAAGAACCGCGCCTAGACCGCGTTTTTACTTTCAAAATGGCGCTTTTTCGAAAGAGCACCATGATGCTATTATGCAAATGAAGCGCAGGATATTTAAATCCTCACTTCATTTGCAATTTTGAAGTGTTTAATTTACACCCCTCTGTCGAAAGAGGGATGTAGTCTAGACATAGCCTATCTTCCTGCCAGAGTCAGAAATGTGGAAGAAAGGAGAAAAGGAAGAACATATCCATCTGCCACAGAAAACCACATAATAATCAAGGCTCAACAATTTCTCCTGATACTGCTTTGCGAGGTCTGTGTTCTTGCACCAATACACAATGTTCTTCATAGTGGAAGTTCAGAGCAGATTTTTCAAAAAGAATCTGTAATTTAAATGAGCCTAACTCAAGCAAAAGAGAAAATACTGCAGATTTGAACCAATCATAGAGTCATAGAAATGTAGAGCTGGATGAGATCTCAATAAGTCATCAAGTCTAGCCCCATTATCAGGTGCAGAACAAAATGAATCTAGACCATCCCTAACATATGTTTGTCCAAAATGTTCTTAAAAACCTCTAGTGATGGGATTCCACAACCTCACTTGAAAATCTATTCTAGTGACTAACTACTCTTATAGTTAAAAAGTTTCCTTATTATCTAACACATCTCCCTTGTTGGAGATTAAACCCACTGCTTTCTGTTTTACTTCAATGGATATGGAGAACAATTATCATCACTGTCCTCTTTATAACAGTCCTTAACATATCTGGGTTCATATCAGGTGTGCTGGGATTCCTGGGCCAGAATGCACAACTGCTTTGGTCGGGGATGGCACATGGGCCAGGAGTTTGACATCCCTGGTCTACATCTTTCCTAAATGTAGTGCCCACAACTGGACACAGGACTCCAGATGACGCCTCACCATACTTCATGTCCACAGAGTGCAAATAATATCAAGGAAAGAAGGAATAAATTAATAAATGCTATGACTAGGCTCACCAAAATTCAAATATACTATAAGGAGCTAATAATCCAGACATTACATGACAATACACTGCAAACTACTAATGCACATCTTCACTGAAGAGCAAGAGAACTGGTTGCAGTGTGATTTAAAATAAATAACTTCTATCATTAAATGCTTTTATTTTTCTTCAATTATAAAATAGACATTGCAAAAATAACTCTTTTTTCCACAAACATGCAAGTACTGCATTATCCTAAGTTTTTATTCTGAGTACATTAATCATTCATTATTTCACATGGTAAAAACTAACCACACACACATGCATTCACTAATTAGATCATCTTTATCATACACCAATAAATTTAAAAAACAGATATTTTCTGATATCAATATAGTTATGCTGATTGCATTTTGAAATAGAGAAGCTGACAATAGCTTCATACAGTATCTCTCAAGTATTGGCATAAATAGAACTTTTTAAATAGAACTGCATGTTTTTCACAGGCAAAGTTTGATAGAAACATCAGCCTTAATACAAACAAATGTTGACAAAGCTAAAGCATGATAGCTTGGAATAACAGCTAATTAAAAACTAGATTCATCATTTTTAAAATATTAGGTGAAGAGAAAATACACTCTGAAATACTAAAAATTAAATAATGTATTTATACAACAAAACTGTCTTATGAAACAAAAGAAATCATTCTGATATAATTTGGAGGTATTTACTTTGAACATTTTTGGAAAACTTGTAAAGGATTTGTATAAACTTGAGTTAGTACACGTATTAATACCACATCCCAATTCATAGCACAATCTTATTTCATCTGCTTAGTGGTACTTCTGGATTTTAGTTTAAATTGAATTTGAAGAGTTTTTGAAAGGTGAAATTAATTTCTCTGTTAATCCCATATATAGAACAATTTCAGAAAATTTTTCTTCCATAACAAAGGGATGTTAGGAACTGCTAAAACCCTAAATAAGTACAATTAAGTAGGATATTTGCATCCTAAATCCAAGAATCTGAACTACAAAGGCATAATTGAAGAACAAAAACCTTATCTCTTTAGCTGCAGCAGTTAAAGCACATAGCTAAAGTTACATTTCATTAACACTTCACTACAACATTGGAATTCTGCAACCATTACATTATTTATATGGAGTTATGTTACAACTTAGTAAATTGCTTAAAAGATAGGTTTTAACATAGCAAGATGCACTAAGTCTCTCCTGTCCAGCCATCAGATTCCCCAGCTGTTGCTCCAACCATTGTTATCACAAAATCGCTTTGCCTCCAGTAGTCTTTGGTGTGCTTCCATTTCTGTCAGATGATCTAAGAGTTTGATTTTCTGTTTTTTCTTTATACAAAAGAAGAAACATTTAAAAATTATTGTTGATATATTCAAGTATTTGGTAATATCTGAATACTAAGTGCCATTATATGAGGCATATCTGTTATGCAGGAACTACTTGGAAATCCACTTTACAAAAAAGTCAATTAACTCATAATTTAGGACATATTTCATACTGAGGGGTACTTCTCAAGCAAGTCTGCTCCAGAAGGCTTCAGTTATGTTGGTAAAATGTGTACCAGTCCCAAGGAATGATATAGTTAGTGGTTAAAGGTCTCCTGGGTTTTATTTCTGATTCTGCCACTGATTTCAACATGTGAACTGGAAAGTCACAACTTATCATTTAATTTCTTTACCCACTGGTAAAACATTACTTGCCAATTTCACAAAAGTTGTGGGAAGATCAATTAATCAATATATGAAAAGCACAGAGATCTTTGGAAGAACAACATTTAATTTCAGAGATCTGAACAAACACTGATTCTTGGTACCTCATCATATCAAAAGGCACTTCTCTCTATCAAAAATATATTTAGGACATTCTAATATATAGACACTAAGATATTCACTGCCTCCATTTTATTAGAGGGGAAAGAGGGCCCAAAACAACTCACATTGCTATTAACTAAAACTGGCAGTAGGATAACACTTTTTAGAAAAAGTGACTAGGAGTCCTGTGGCACCATACGGTATGTCTACACTACCCTCCTAGTTTGAACTAGCGGGGTAATGTAGGCATACCGCACTTGCAAATGAAGCCCGGGATTTGAATTTCCCGGGCTTCATTTGCATAAGCGGGGAGCCGCCATTTTTAAAACCCCGCTGGTTCGGACCCCGTGCAGCGCGGCTACACGGGGCACGAACTAGGTAGTTCGGACTAGGCTTCCTAGTTCGAACTACCATTACTCCTCGTGAAATGAGTAGTAACAGTAGTGCACAGAGGCAGGTCTTGGCTCCATGTTGCAGAGTGCTGTGGTGTCTCGAGTGAGGGCAACCACAGCACGCAGATACAAAATGCTTTGCTGTCCCTCATCAAGGTAGGCAAGCAAGCAGGGAAAGCTGAGAACCGGCTGTTCAGGGAGTGTCACTTTAAGCACAGCTACCATTACTCCTCGTGAAATGAGTAGTAACAGTAGTGCACAGAGGCAGGTCTTGGCTCCATGTTGCAGAGTGCTGTGGTGTCTCGAGTGAGGGCAACCACAGCACGCAGATACAAAATGCTTTGCTGTCCCTCATCAAGGTAGGCAAGCAAGCAGGGAAAGCTGAGAACCGGCTGTTCAGGGGGTGTCACTTTAAGCACAGGCCTCAGATAACCTCAGACAGCAGCCACACAAAGTAACTCCTGACCTGATGCCCTGCCAGATCTGGTTCCGGCCGGCCTTAAATAAGATTCAGTGTCCACTCAGTGTGGATCTGCTATTTTGAAACAGCAAAACGCTATTTCGAAATGCATTTTGTGTGTAGACACGTTATTTCAAAATAACTTATTTCAAATTAACTATTTCAAAATAAGATATTTTGAAATAATGCTGTAGTGTAGACATACCCTAACAGATTTATTGGAGCATAAGCTTTTGTGGGCAAAGACCCACTTCGTCAGATGCATATAGTGGAAATTCCAGAGGCAGTTATAAATCTGTTAAGTCTATAAGGATATGTCTAGACTACATGGCTCCGTCGATGGAGCCATGTAGGTGAGTTTACTAGACATAGGAAAATGAAGCTGCAATTTAAATAATCGCTGCTTCATTTACATAAAAATGGATGCTGCACTGTGCTGATCAGCTGTTTGGCGGCACAGCAGGGCAGTCTGGACGCGCCACGGTCGACAAGGGACGCCTTTGTCGACCGCTCCGGTAAACCTCATTTCACGAAAATTTCTAAAATCCTCAAAAATGAGGAAACACATACATGAAAACAATAAAACTAAACATCATAATAGTACAATAGGATTCTTATAGCATTCCTAACATTTATGATTCAAGTCAATGTCTGTTCTAGGATGACTCAATTTAATAGTGTCTATTCGCTAATAACAAGCAGATCTGCCCAGGCTTTTCTCTGAAAATTGCCTCTCTTGTGGGCTGAAGCATTTAACTGATAATTCTTTGGGATTCTTCTATAGTCCAAAAATATACTTAAATTCAGATCCTTATATCTTCTGTGATTAAGACATCACAGATATGATAGGAGGCCTCTTCTGCACAATTCTTAACTCATGTGATTTCTACTGCCTGAAAACTACAGGCCCAATCAAATGACACTAAAATCAATGGATGTCTTTCTACTAATTGACATTTACTGTGTGAATTGGATAATGATTAAAATTAGATTAATTTAAGAAATATAAATTATTCCAAGAATTAGATGGATCATTTTTCTTTATGCCCATCTCTGATGTGGGCTCAAGAGGAAACAGAGCCCCAGCGTAAGTTTGTAAACATACAATTACTAATGTAAAGATTCCAATGCAAATTTCTTCACCCAAGTACATCACATGGATATTAGAAAGTCCCATGAAGATTGTGACTCCATTTACAAATCACAAAAAATGATCACTCTTATATTTTTGTCATGCTACCAAAAGTGAACTTCTATTTGTTTGCATGAGAGAGGTTTGTGAAACAAAGAAATATAGGTAATTATATAATTACTGAGCAAAACAATATGTCAATTTAAAATGTAATTAAAATCCTACCCAGTTGTGATTTTTATCTTTAACCTATCTATAAAAACCTTGATCTTTCAGTTACATACATACATAAACTTAAAAATATGTATAGATTTACACACAAAAACTATGTTAATAAAACATTATTAATTTTACAAAGTCAGTCACTTAAATGTTGGGCACCCTTGTGCATATGTATTGACAGACAGTCTGATTATTTGATCATGCACTATTTTTCCATATTATTCCTGCCTCATTCAGTGCACAGGATGGATGATCCTCACTTAAGAAGCTATTCAATATTTTATTTTATATTCATTCAATGTGTGATCTCATGCCTTCATTACTCCACACTATTCAAACACTGCTCTAAAGACTGAATTATTCATTTCTTCATGAGATTTGCTATGGCACTCTTCACTATAGTATGTGTATCCTTCACAAACACCTTCTCTCAGAGGAGAGATTATTGTTTTAGCTACATTAGTTGAAACATCTAGGACCTGATTTTTCAGCGCACTTAACATATCATAGCACATTCCATGTGCAAAGCATAGTGCATATTGATTTCAGTTGCAGCAGTGAGTACAAAGCACTTTTTCAAACCAGTCCCCAAAGAATACATTACAATAAGATACCCACAGCTGGCCTGTGCCAGTTCACTTGGGTTTATGGGAGGTGCTGTTTAATTGCAGCATAAATGTTCTTGCTCAGGCCCGAGCTCTGGGACCCTCACACCTCATAGGTTCCTAGAGCCCAGGCATCACACTGAACCCAGATGTCAGCACTAACAGCCCTAAAGCAAGAGCCTTGTGATTCCAAGTCAGCTGATACAGGCCAACCGTGGATTATTAATTACAGTGTAGACATACCAATAATCTTAGGTCAGGTACCCAACAAATGAGGAATGCAAAATCAGTGTCCATCTGTAAAAAGTGTGTCTGAAGAGACTTGCCAAGCATCACACAGGAAATCAGTGGCAGAGGCAGGGAGAGAACACAATTTTTCAGGGCAACATTCAACTGCCTTAAATGCAAGACCCATTCCCTTCTCTTCCTGCATTCTCCTGCCTCATTTATAAAACCTTCTAGCTCGTGCAACAATGAGGGTAGGGTCCTAAAAACAACCTCCTTAACTGCACAAACCTAATTTACTTCCAGGGACAGGCAACCTTGACTCTGTCACTTTCTAATATTTTCAGTCTTTGACTTGCAACCTGAATAATGTTTTGAACATAATTTTGTTTCAACAATTTCCTAGGTTTAAGAAACCCAGAAAAATAGAAATTCTGTTATGTAGCATCACGTTGATGCCCATATTGGTCATCATCAGAGTTGCTCTTATTTCAGGTACCCATACCCAGACTTGGCGTGGCACATGCAAGGAAAAGTTCTACTCAGCCTTTGGCTGGAGCATGCCAAAATGTGGATGGAATCATTGGGAAATTTAGTTGCTAAAAATCTAAAGATTTTTCAAAGCTTTTAACTTGGCCAAATCTGAGCAGATTTTCACAGTCAAGGAAAAAGGCACATCTGTGACACAAGGACCATGTTCCTTATCCAGTGTTAGGATCTTGCTCCAAAATATTGGAGCACTGGAGTTTCAAAGAAAAAGGTGGCCAGAATTTTTAACATGGGCAGGACAATATAACTTCCTCTAATTTTTTTCTCTGAAATAGCTGAACTATTTTGGCAACATGGACAATTTCAAGCCAAACAATTTGTATGAACAAGTAAGAACAAGTTGTAAGAAAATGAAATCAAGGTTTTATAATGTGAATTGCCAGAAAACCTCAATTATAGGTGTTCCTACTAGCTCCACCCACAACAAACAAAACACTTCATTGTGAAGTTGATAGGATGGATTGCTACATGCACAAAGCATATTTAAGAAGCTTAACTTAACAGCTAGTAATTGTAGATTCTTGCTGTAACGGTTGGTTGTATTAGAAAAGGGGGCGGAATAAATGTCAGATTTTGGTGTTTGCTAATTGTGATAATGATAGTATGTGTCCTTGTGGATGGAGTAGAGTATATATCATGTTAACTGCCTTTCTTTTTTTCATTTCCTTGAATTTTGTTAAAATATGTCAAAGATAACAATCCAAAATCTGCTTTGCATTTTTTGTATGCATACAAAAAGGTATGTGTTGTATAATACCATTTCCAGTTAAGAAAAGGATTATAATTCCAGGTAACAACATAACTAGATAAAACATTTTGTACTTGTAAATTAGAATGCAGACCTCTAAACTAGCAACACGTAGCCAAAGTATCAGAGTAAGGATATGTCAACACTACAGCATTATTTCGAAATAGCTTTTTTCAAAATAACGTGTCTACACAAAAAATGCATTTCGAAATAGCGTTTTGCTATTTCAAAGTAGCGCATCCACACTGAGTGGATGCTGAATCGCATTTAAGGCTGGCCAGAACTGGTTCTGGCAGGGCATCAGGTCAGGAGTTACCTTGTGTGGCTGCTGCCTGAGGCTGAGACCTGTGCTTAAAGGGACTCCCCCGGTCAGCTGGTTCTAAGGTTTCCCGGCTTGCTTGCCTACCTTGATGAGGGACAGCAAAGCATTTTTTTCTCTGCGTGTTCTGGTTGCCCTCACTCAGGACATCACAGCACGCTGCAACATGGAGCCAGAGCTGCCCCTGGACACTCTGGTGGTTCTCCTGGACATGTTGCTGCAAGCCTGGCAGCACGTTCTGCAGGCAGTAACAGTCTCCCTGGTGTGCTCCATTGGGGGCTTGTGCCTCATTGCTCCCTCATGTCCTTCCACTTACTCCTCCCTAACCCCCCTTCTTGCTGTACAATAAATCCCTTGTGCCGCTTTGCCTCTCTGACTCAGGTCCCCTTCCCATTCTTTCTCTGCCTTGGCTCATTAGATTATTAGCTTTGCTGGGCTGTGTTAGTACAGGTGATTAAAAAAAAATGCTCAACACATCAGCACAGTTGGCCACAGTCTTTAGTCACAAGTGTTCCGAGCAGTGACGGGGTAGAATCCAGTGTAGGTGAAGGACATGTTTCTATCGGCTCCCTTGACAGCCCATCCACATTAAATCGTCTCACCGGCCCAACTGTCTCCCAGAATCATGTCTGCGGAGGCCTTGGGGGAGGAGGAGCAGTAGCTGGGGAGGCAGCAGGGGCTGGAGCAGCAGGAGGCAGCAAGCTCTGCCCCAGGATCGATGACCATCTGAGGGGGCACAGACCATTCTGCCCCCCAGGATGCGGTCCACGGCATCAAAATAGGGACAGGGGTCTGGGTCTAGTTGCCGTGGACCTGGTTAGGAGCTGCCCCCTGCGGCCCTGGCATACTCCTGCTGTAGCTCCTTGATTTTCATGAGAACCTGCTCCCGGGTTCGCATGTGGCCTTTGGTCGCCAGGCTGGCAGCCATCCGCCTGCAGACGGTTGCGTTCCTCCGTTTAGGGCGGAGATCATGGACGTTGTAGGCATCCCCCCAACCTGAATTAGGTCCCTGATCTCCGCACTGGACCAGGCAGGCGCCTGCCTTTTCCGGCCCCTGGCAGGCTCCTGGGAGCTGGCAGACTGCTCCTGGGGACCGGTGGAGGGCTAGCTGGCACTGGCTGCCTGGCTCATGCTGGGGCCACTGGGTCAGGTGCAGCAACTGCTGGCTCTGGGCTTGGAGCAGGCATAGGCACTGTAGTGAGAGTCCACCCTTTTAAGGGCTCCGGGGGAGGAGGCAGGGGAGGGAGAGGAATTTTCTTGGTTGTGCCCAGAGTGGACACCAGGGCACCCTGGGAAGGACTGTAGGCCCCCTAATTTGAAATAAGTGTCTACACAGCGCTTATTTTAAAATAGCAATTTCAAAATTGGTGCTATTCCTCGTGGAATGAGGTTTACCAATTACGAAATAAGACCTCCGCTATTTCGATTTAATTTCGAAATAGCGGTTTGGCTGTGTAGATGCGGGTAAAGTTATTTCGAAATAACAGCTGTTATTTCAAAATAACTTCGCTGTGTAGACATACCCTAAGAAGTGATTTGTTGAGAACCAACCATATGCAAGGAAATACTGATCAGCATTCTACTCCCAAAACCACTCAAAAAGATTCAAAAGATACATTTAGGAAATAGTATGAAAGAAATATGAAAGAATTGTTCATTGGGGCATGAGATAATCATAAACATGCTTGGAGAACTCAAATTTTCACAGACAATATTTCATTTGATTTATGTACACAAAAATCTGAGAACAGAAAATTGCACGCAACAGATATGAACAAAAATAAACTGCATTTTATAGATTGTTCTGAGTTCCATTTATAAATATTTCCCAGAAGGTGGTCATAACACTAATCAATCACTTACAAGCTCATTTTTCGTGACTGACTGTCTTTAGTTCCATTGTTCTTTTGGTCGATTGAGTTAGTTGTACTACGGGAGGCAGTCGCTACAGTGGCACTGGAAGAAAAGACAACATTCCCACTAGTATTGGAGGAACGTGTCCGGAATGAATCATCTGAAAGAAAGTAGTACACAATTAAGTCTAAATGAAACACAGGGACAACACATCTTTGGGTAGGTTGAACAGCTGTTCCTGTTTGATATACCATAAAATTGTCCTGTCTATAAGAAAACTGTGCTAATATAAAGATTTTTGCTAAAAAAAATCGTATGTTGAAGTACAGAAAAATAGTTGATAATCTATAGACTTTCTGAGACGGTCTACAGAAAATCAATCAATTTTAATGTATGAAATATGAGAGATACATGTCTAGAGGAAGCTTTTTAAAACTAGTCTCCCTTTTGACATACAAAATTTGTGAATGCAAATAATTACAAGCATAATTTATGCCACCTAGATAGCTAATTGTTATACAGGCAGTCCCCAAGTTACGTGGATCCGACTTATGTCGGATCCGCAGTTACGAACGGGGTTGCCGGGGAGGCAGGGGAGCAAAGTCTCTGAGGACGCCGGCAGCGGGACAGCCGCGGCGCGTCTGGGCTGTCCGCTGCCTGCATGCTCCCCGGCTTTGCTCCCCGACTCCCTGGTCTGCTTCTCTCCGGGGCCAGACTGGAAGTGTGGGGGCTGCACACCCCACTCACTCACTTCTCCATGGAGGGCGGGGGCGGAGGTGAGGGTGCAGAGGCTGCTGGCCAGCTCCTCCTTGTCACTAGCCAGGGGCATGGGAGGGAGGTACATGGTAGCCAGCAGCTGCTCCCTAGGACAATCTTGGGTGGTGGATGCTGAAACAACTGAATTCCAGGCATATCCCATTGTCTTCGCACAACCAAACACTATGATAAAAAGAAGCTGCATACTAAATTTGGTGGCCCTAGCTCTTATCGTTTAAGAGGAATTCTTGAACAAACGGACACACCACAGACAGAGGGAGAGACAGACATTTCTAAAATATATAGTAAAACAAAGACATCAGCAACACTTACCACTAAATGGTAGCATAGAAGCCTTTCCCACTCCAGGTATAGAAGAAGTATATCCTGTTGCAGAACTTTTACTAAAAAAATAAGTAAGTGACATATTATTACCTATTGCACATTAAACTATGTAAGTCACAAGCAGTGATTCTGGGTCTCCAAATGGAATTTTTTTCACCCCAATGCAAAAAATTCACAACCTTCTCAATTATAAGAAACTGCTGATTTAGGCCATTATTCAACAAGGTACTTAGGCATGCAACTAACATTAAGCATGTGAGCAGTCCTATTGACTCATGTGCTTAAAGTTAGGCATGTATTAAAATCTACTGCTGAACTAGAGCCTTGTGCAGTTAGTACATCTGCACAGAAATCTGGCACGTTCTCCATGTAGGTGTATGGCACAATAAAAAGTGTAATGGTGTCTGAATAAAGTGGATAACATTTGCTGCAAAAATAGTATTTATTGTGGCATTGTCCTGGATGGAAAGAGTCAGATGGAAAATATTGCTTGAAGTGTTTTGCATATGAGAGCACAACATAGGAAAAGTGGCATGATTTGGCCAAAAGTACATAGAATAATTAATAATATAAGCTTTGCATTAGTCAGAGCTCTGAGATGGGATAGGTTATGCTAATGGGAAGGCTTTTCTGCTTTGCACAGCTATTAGGTGGTCTGAGGTGTTACACCTTAGAATTCAGTACATTTTGGAGTGTATATTCTCCTCCATGCTTTGAAGAATACATATGCATTTCTACAAACTATAACCAGAATTTGACCTTAGGAGCAGAATCTATTCAATGGGCAATTAAAAATGAAGAAAACATACTTAGAACACTTGTCTATGTTGCCATATTTTGGATGCAATGCTTGAGTACTGAAAGACTGGCTTCGAACTAACTTAGATTTCTTCCCTTCTTTGCCTAAAACAAATAAGCAACAAATAAATTTTAAAACAGCAGAAATGATTGCAACTTGTCTTTTATCAGTAGGAAGAGTGCTCTGGCTGTAGATGGCCCATGGGTCATGAGCTTGAGACCATTATGCTAAATTAAAGAGCTGGAGGATGATGATATAGCAATAAACTCCAGTTATATCACCCATCATGAACTACCAAACAACAATAAAGAAAATATTTCACTGCAATGCTTTCTTATGTGCACAGTGAGTGCAAGCCTGGCCTCAGGGGAGTCAATTGTACCTTTGTCTGGTTTTAAACTTGCACAGGAGAGATAGAAGTATTCTAAAATGTTTTTAAAGAATTGTTTCTTACTTGTTGATGCACTTGAAGAGCTTCCAGAAACAGAAAGAGATATGCTTTTTGACAAAGTTGATGTTTTACTGTCTCTACCTAAAACAAAGTTTATTTTAAATACTGCACTCTGATAAACAATCTTACTTTACATAATCTTTACATAAAATTTAAAATATTATATACAGCTCTGTTATGATGCTAGGGAAAACAGTAATAATATATAATAATATGGTAATGGCACCCTAGAAATAAGAGACAGGCAATTATACTACTACCTTCCTAGCAGGAAACTTTGTATCGAATTAAAGCTTTTATGTATTTTATTAATGAAACCAATATCATGCTATGTTAACGTACCAAGACCTTTTTGCATAACTTACCCTTTTTAAGGGGACAAATTAAAAAAGCCACAGTTCTTTACCAAGTTTAACAACCACCATTATGTTTCCTAAATAATACTATATTAATTTCATTTACCAAGAATCACCCCTCGCCCCAGATAAAAATAAGACCCACAAAACCAAAAAAACTTCAAAACCCAAAAACTTACGCTTCTTTTCAAATATTTTATCACTGATACTGGTCGACCGTCCCTCATTCTGCTGCTTCTCTTTTTCTAATTGCTCCTATTATGGAAACAATTTCATGTGAATGAGAATTTACACTTCGCACAGGTTGAAAGTCTCATCTAAATGAGCATGCTTACAACTAAGTAACATACAGATTAATTTCTTTTCTCAGTTATTTTAACATAGTTCCCTTTTATCTATAAGGTTACGTCTACACTATGGGGTTTTTCTGGGATACTAACGTATCCCAGAAAAACTCTGCTGCATCCAGGGAACATGTCTGTTCTTCCACTTTTTTTTTCAGAAGAGCAGATACGCTCTTTTGAAAGCCTTGTCTTCCTCGTGCCATGAGGAAGAAGGAATCTTCTGAAAGAGGAGGTTTTTCCCAAATTTGGACCAGTATATGGTCCAGTGTTTAAAATGGCAATACTATATCTATTGTGCAATGTGTCTCTAGAATATATATGGAAATTAAAACTCTAGCTAATGAACAGCATGAAGATACAAAATCAATACAGATGGACAATATTTAAATCCGAACTGATATGATATATTTAAAGTGTTATGTTTTCTCTAAAATCTGCATCTAAAGTATGTATTGGAGTTAATAAACCTTTATTGAAAACAAGGTATTTGAACCGAATATAATAATTTCTCATATTTTAGTCAACATATTTTCATATATGTATTACAGGTTGAACCTCTCTAATCTGATAGGGTACGTCTACACTTGCCCCCTAGTTCAAACTAGGTCTGCCTCAAGCCTGAGCAGGCAAAGACCCACTTCATGCATCTGACTACAGATGACTACATGCATCTGACGAAGTGGGTCTTTGCCCACGAAAGCTTATGCTCCTACACTTCAGTTAGTCTATAAGGTGCCACAGGACTCCTCATCGCTTATTGAAAACAAGGTATTTGAACCGAATATAATAATTTCTCATATTTTAGTCAACATATTTTCATATATGTATTACAGGTTGAACCTCTCTAATCTGATAGGGTACGTCTACACTTGCCCCCTAGTTCAAACTAGGTCTGCCTCAAGCCTGAGCATGCACATATGCATGCACGCAGGCCAGGCCAGAAAGGGTGGCGGAAAGTCAGGAATGCTTGCCCAATTATGCATAACTTGTACATGACAGCAAGACCAGACCAAAAAGACCAGAAACAACCTGGTACTAATACATCCCATTTTTTGATAAGAGAAAAATTCCAGAGACAGACAAAAACTATTAATTAAGCACTTTTGCAATATTTTGGCACAACAAAATGTATCCGAGATATTGGCATAATAGGTATCTTACTCCAAATGTAATTAATTAGTAGATATTACTGGACCGACCAAGTCTTGTATAAATATAGGGGTAGAAAATCTAATCAGTGGGAGGGATGGAGTAAGGTATCTCCACTACCTTACTCACTGCAACAAGGTGAACCAGTTCCTACGGCCCAATGCATTGTGGATGCCTCTGCGCATGGGGAAAGAAAGAGGCCACGACCGTGTGTGTGTGTGTGTGTGTGTGTGTGTGTGATATTCATAGGAATAAGTGTATGTATATTCATATTCTTATATTTGAGTAGCTTGTGTATCTTCCTAGGTAAAGGTGTTGTTATATTGTCTGTGCTAATTATCTCATGTATTGAAATGGATCTGTGTAACTTTGCATTGCTTTCCTTTACTATTCTGTGCACAATAAAGTTAACAAGAGTTTATCTGAAGTGTTTTTACTGGTTCCTCTCGTATCTAAAAACCAAACCACACAACAAACTGTTTAAGATCATCACCAGGTGCTGGATCATTTGGGATAACCACTTCATCAGGAGTGGAGGAGGAGTTATCGTTGGGTGGTGTGTCTGATTGCTGTACCATTGGTTTGTCCTCAATTTGCTCTTCCTCTAGGTCCATGCCCTCAGATAGGGAACGCGATGGGTCTGAACTTGTAGAGGTCACAGACCTCTGTGCAGATATAGGAGGGGAGGGGAGGCATGACAAGGTGCCCCGCAGTGATAGGGGGACCATTAGTGATAGGGAGATCATTATGGTTTCTGTCATAATAGTGCCATTCCGGATGCCAGGGAGGATATTGATAATGAGGCAAGCCATATGCCCCGTAAAGTGAATATGCTCTCTCTGGGGAGGAGTGTTGAGAGGAGAACCTACTCCTTGAATGCCCTTGGTAGGCACTGATTTGAGACAAGGCGGGTGAACATGACGATCCCCTTATCAGTAATGGGAAACAAGAGTGGTGCTGTGTCGAAGGCCAAGAGGAGGCCCAGTTCTGGCTGTCCTGTGCTGTCTCGGTGGGACCTGTGTTTTGCACATTAGGGAATGGCTGTGGGATGATGCCCTGTGAGCCATTGCTGAGTTTCCCGGTACATGAGATGGTGGCATGGATGAGGTCGCAACCCCAGGAGATGTGGGGTTAGTGTGAGGTACTGGAGGGAAGCTGGGACTAGCCCTGTCACCTCCTGGCACCTGTGGTGGAGACTCCATTGGGAGTTCATGTTGTGCTGGGGATACTGAGTGTGCTCGAGACACCCTGGGTGTCCTTGATGCCACTAGTGCTTCTGTTACATCAGGGCCCTTAGTAGGTGCCCTTTTTTATGCCTGGGCAGGTGGTTTGACCCCGTTTAGAGCGCACTCTGGAGCCTGTCAAAGAGGAGGCTTGAGATTTCCCCATGCCCAAGGTGCCCGGTTCATCCCCTTTACTGATTCCTGGGGGGGGAGAGAGCAGGCTGGTGAGGGTCTGGTTTCTGATTGTGCCTTCTGAGGTAAAGGGCTGGAGGGACTGCCCCAAGGGGATCTTGCACTCGAGCCCTTATTGCCCCCTATATAGCTATGGAGGTCAAGGGCTTTGTCAACAGACAGCATGTGGGCTGAATGTTCTCTTTCCTTGCGAGCCCTCGCTGTCAGGCTGCCGCAGTAGACACATTTTTGTTGTACATGTGTGTCCCCCAAATAGCATATGCATTCGCTGTGGGCATCAGAGGCTGGCATAGGCTCCCGGCATCTTCCACATTTTTTGTTCTTGGGCAGGACTGACATGTCTCCCCAAGGCTGAGTATACCACCCAAACAGTGTAAACCAAGCTGTCTGCTTGGGTTATTAGTTGGTTTTTTCCTCAGGTTTTGTGTTTGTGTGTGTTGGGTGGGGGAGGGAGCTATTTTCAGTTTGACTTGGCTGCTGTGGCTTGTCTCTGTGCGGCAGTGAGAGCTGCTAGCAGCTTTTTTGTTTGGTTGGTTTTATTGAATAAAGAGAGGAGTCTATCTAAAGTACTCAATTGTTTCTCTTTGACTAAAGTACTCAATTGGTTGTCAATTGTTTCTCTCTGATATGCAGAGCAGCTGAGGAGGAGAGTGTTGAAAGTCCCTAGCCCAGGGCTGTGAAGAAAGAAATGAGGGAAAAGGGGGCTGTGCCTGCTACTTCAAAGGCGGGAATTGCCCCTCTCTGCTCACACATACATAGCCTGCCTGATGACTGCTTGAAAGTCTCTGATCCGTGGCGCCCGGACGAGCCCCATACCAACAGTGGAGAGCCCACCGGGACATCCAGGGGCGGCCCGTGCCTATAGGCAAATTAGGCAGCATCCTAGGGCGCCAAGTTGCATGGGGCGCCAAATTCCAAACCCTGCCCCTTCTATTTCCCATGCCTTACCTGGAGCATGGCTTCCCTGCGGCCAGAAGAGGGGTAAGTCCTGGGAGAGGCAGCGGCCGCGGGGGAGGGAGGGAGGCCCCGGGGGAGGAGGAACGCAGGGGGGTTTCCCCTGCCCCACGGGGGGGGGGGGTGGCCCTGGGGGGGGGGGAGTGGC